CTGAGTGGTGCACTACTGCAACTAGTGGTGAGAAAGTGTATTGCACCTTATTCAAAATTAATGCGTTCCCACGGCCCTCTGCGGCCCAAAGTTCAAAACTGTTGTTCTTTGAGGCCCTCAAGGTGACGCTCGCGGCCCAAAGTTCAAAACTGTTGTTCTTTGAGGCCCTCAAGGTGGCGCTCGCGGCCCAGAGGTTAAGAATCTCTGCCTTAGACGTTGCTTTGAAATTCTTAAAAATCCAACAGATTCAGTAAGTTTGTGAACAGCCATTTTGCCCATTCTTACCCGTCACATTGACGTAGACAGTGGTGAAGGAGGCGAGTGGCACGGCAGCTACGTTCTGTACGCGCACTCGCAGCGTGAAGAAGCGCGTCGTCTCGTAGTCGAGGTTCTCGGCCACCAGGATGGACGCCGAGCCATCTGCCCGGTTCGGTTTTATGTAGAAGCGCACCGGCATGTTGGTCTCTGGCACCTGACCCTCCTCCAGATTATAGGTGACTCGTGGATCCCCCAGTGGAGATGTCGCTTTGACAGTCTGAAAATAAATGATACATGCTTATTGTATGATTCACAATTACTTCTACTAACATATTATATTTTAGTGTTTTTGTTTGACTCGAGCCACATTTTTCTAATTTTGCTGATAAAAGTGTTAAAGGATACATAAGAGGTATATGATGTTTTAAATTCTTCCTTTTCCACATTTAAATCATTCATTTTGTGTCTATATAAAGTGGAACTGCAATGCTTTGGTCTGAATTCCTCCTAATTGCAACTCCACAAACCCCAACCCTTATCTGAGGTGTGTCTGAGATCAACTCGTTTTGAGGCTGTCTCTTTAAATCCAAATCTCACACACCTCCAGCTTCAACAGCAGTTTGATTGAGGGGTTTATGGCTATATAGTGTCGCAGAAACTCTGACTAAAAGAAAATAAAAATATCTATGAAGCACCAGGACAGACTAAATTCCAATTTTCTGCGCTCCTAATTACTCTAACGACACAACAAAATGCATTTACTGACTAAAAAAAAGTGGATTTTGCATATGTCCCTTTTAAACGACTTGATAAAATACTGATAACAAGTGACCAAAGGACACATTTTAAAGAGGAACTTTACAGCAAAAGGTCTTTGGAAAAAACAAACAAAAAAACTGTTCTGTTTGGCATCTCTTGTTTCTTTGGATGAATCCATTCTGCCTGAATGAAAAGAATCGATAAGAACAAGCGGATTTCTCCAACCAATGTCAGTGACGGTCATTTCTAAAGTTCTTTTGTGTGCATGCATAAAAAAACTTTTCTTTGGAGGGACTTGGGAAACAGAGCAGAAGCACAGCAGAGAGGGAAAGAGTTCTGGTCTTTGCACCATTATTTATATTACATTCTTATTATTATTTTCATTATTTTAAGTGCTTTTGTTAATAGTAAAAATTAGCAAGCTGGTGCCTGATGAACAAAGAACAGCAGTAGGAATCCACACAGACTCCCTTTCGCGTATTCCTTTTATGTCTCAAGTTTAATAACGCAGACATTTTCATTTTTCAAATACATACTTTCGCATAATTCATCAAAGAATGAAGCCAAAGAAGACTCTCTGGTGGTTTATGATAACGTAATGTTATCACACAACAGCTGGGTGTCAGCTCCGAGGTCATTTATCTTTAAAACGGCCCCTAACAGCCTCCAGATCTATAAACGAAGACACTCAGCAGAAAAATGGCACCCTAAAATACACAACTACATTTCAAAGAATGCGGTTTCTTAACGGCCAGAGCAGCAGTTCAGTCCTTCTACGGGAACAGTGCCCATCGAAAAATCTCAATTGCTTCACAAAAGATACCAAAAATGGTTTGAGTTTCAGCTTCATGTGTGCTTCTCTTTGTGAGATTTATTTATCTGTTTTTTAAGATAAGTGTTTCAGTGAGCGTGTGTGAGCAATAAGGTGTTTTGACCCAGACAATAACCAACAGAAGAGCTTTTAAGATTCACATTTTTCTTTTAGAAGCAGATAAACTGACCTTGGAGAGACTGTCATTAATTATGGGCTCGCTAAGACAAAACTGCACAGCTATATTAAAGAAACCTGTCTTTTTTAGTGTGAGGAAGAACTGAAAGCTTGTTTAAGGTCACACTGAGGTTATGCAATTACTGGAGGGGATAAAGTAACAGAAAATTTATATACTATTGTATTGCTCCAAAGTGATGGAAACAGAATTGTGTGTGTATGTGTGTGTCTGAGAAAACGAGCTGTTAAGTCTTTGTCCTTCAAGTCCRCAAAGTCACATGCATGCCATGGAAGGATTGTATTTTTCATGGTTGAGTGATAACAACTGACTTTACAGAAGAGGTTATGATCTGGACTGCACACACACATGATCAGTCTAGTACAGCTATCCTTATGGCGACATTGCATTGCCTTCCATTAATTTCTACAGCCTAACCTTGACCCCTTACCCTAAACTTAACCTCACAGGTACATACCTGACCCTAAATCAAACACAAGTTTTAAACCTATCAATGGCATTTACCCTCATATCAGTTGGTCCCCACAAGTAAGGGTTTATGCCAAAAATGGTCCTATATAGTAGGAAACACTCCCTCTCACTCACAACTAGGGTCAACTTAAAGTTACCAATTAGCCTCACAGTCATGTTTTTTGTCTGTGGAAAGAAAGCCAGAGTACCCGGAGAAAACCCACACATGCACAGGGAGAACATGCAAACTGTACCCAGAAATATCCTAGGTTGGGATTTGATCCGGCAATCACACTACCAACCCAGACAGCAAAAGATGTTGAATTATGGTCAACAGTGGTGGGTACCAGTCCGCTAAAGCGCAAATCCGCTAATTGCAGACCTAAATATTTTGTTTGCGCTTTAGCGGTCTTGCTAATTTTTATAATTCATAAGTGGAATTGCGCTTTCTAAAATTATAATGCAGTACCACTAATTAATTATCTACCAGTCATCATTATCTTGAAYAGCAGAAGGTATGGYWGTCAATGATTCACAACGCACGTGATATGGCTAAYAGCACTCSTCCCAGATAAACACACTTATTGAGAAGGTATACATCCTTGCTGACTGTTGCTTTCGGTCAGGGTTCTCATTTCCCACAATGCTTTGTGTCTGCTTACATAGCAGGAAGGCAATGTTCAGTACTCCCTTTCCCAGCAAAAATAGTAAACATTTGTAATCCATACTAAAATTTTGTATGTATTGATTCATCTTACTTTACAATTGGAGCTC